TTTCCTTTACTGATGTCTACATTGTTGGGATAAGATCACATCTTACCCCAACCCATCACATGTCTTTTCTCTCATATTTATAGTTCACTCTCCGCCCTTTTGTCCCTAAAAACAAGGGCACTAATTAACAACCATTGAAACTCATCAACACATTTCCTGTATCCAAGATCTAAAAACAAGTCGTACAACTTTGATGGGATGAGAGTCTTGTCACCATGCCAGCTCGATGTGCTTGTCTGTGATTGGAGAGGGTGGTCGACTCCCTACTTGCTTCTCAGTTTGCCCAAAAAAGCCAAACAAGGTTCAGCCTACTAATAAAGACTTTGACATCTGAAGATTTAACGTTTTAAATAAAAATGTGACATCAGCGTTGTTGTCCCTCCCTCCAGCTTTAGTACAGCGGCCTCTATTGTTGAAATTTGTGTTTCTTGTAAGGTGTTGGTATGTTTGGTCGTTTCTGTGTTATCAGGTTCTCTGGTTTTGTTTTATATTGAGAATCTCAGTGCAAACAAATACAGTACATTTCATGTAAATGTATCAAGAAAACAACCTAGTGCAGCAGTTTGCTAAGCACATTTTAATAGCAAGTAGCACGCCCTTTTGTTCAATGTTCCAGTAAATTGTTTTTGGTCTTTACATGAAGTACACACATTATGCAGTTTTCTTTCATAAACACAGTAAATTTAGGGGGAGGGGATCAAATTTATACATATGCAACACATCTTACAAAGACTGGCCTGGACGTTAGCTGTCATCACACTTTAGTGTTATTTTTTCATTTTTTCTGATAAAAGTCTCCCTGTAAAGTTATAAACATTTCCACAGAAAAAAAAAAACAGCGTTTTCTTCTTAAACTTTGTTAGGGAAACGTTCTAGTGGGTTTGAAGCCCCGAAGAGGCCTGAACTTGTTGGAGAAATTGTGATATTATTAATCAAATATTCGTTATTCTCATGTAACCTTATAATATTATCTTTCTTTTATGCTTTTATTGTTTAATATCGTTATAGGATTAAGGATTTGGTCTGATTCCTTTCTCAGAAGGCCTCACTGATGGAAAGCAGAGTCAGTGTTTTCCTGAAGGGTTATCTCTTGGTGAAGAGCTCTGCTTCGTTGAGTTGCTGGATTGCTATAAAACTGTCACTCTGAAGATTCACTACATATTCTGTTAGACTTTGTGTCTGGAACGAGATTATGAAGTGCAGAATAATCTGTGTCTTAGTTAGTAAATGACAACTGGCGCTGTACCTATGTGATGAATTGTTTTCCCCTCCCTTTAGAGTTACAAGGACCTTGTGATTAGGGATCCTGAAAACAATAAAAAGAGAGGAGCAGACAAATATGCTTCAGAGCGGTAGGAGATTGTAACTGAAAGCACATCTCTGTCTGTTCTCCTCTCGAGTAAGAAAGAATCTAACTCTTTTGTCTTTCCTGTTTTTGTTAATATGTGTTTTATAGGTGTTTAACCCTGACAGAACTGCTGCAAAGAGACAGCTGTTGTCTCCAACTTTGGAAAATGCAAATTCAGATTAGATCTGGCTCCACCTCGAGCATTAACGGGGCCATTATCTTCTGAAAAGCTCTCCAGTATCAGTGAACACCTTCTTGATGTCTCATTGTTCCAACAGGACATATATTCAGGGCCTACCACTCTGACTTCACAGAAGCAGGGTGTGTGGTTACCAGTCTCCGTGCCAAGACCGAATCTCCAAGAAAGGGAAAGCAGAGCAAGATGAGGACTCATAAAGCTAAGTTTCAACATCCCGGCCCGGTTGGCAGTACTCAGAGAGCCGCTTTCAAGTGGGCCATGACTAACCTGTCCAAGATTGCTATAATCCTCCGGACTGCTCCAAACTGGATGCTCACTTTTACTCAGGTAAGAAAAGCTGAACACTTTTAAAATGCCTATTGTTTGCTGGGTGTAATATGAGAAAATTTGTCATGTGTCAGAAGGATGCTGAGTATTTTCTTCTTTTTTTTTTCCCCCAGTTGATGGATAGACTGATGCTGCTGATGTCCAGGGACAGAAAACGTCTAGAGAACAACATCAGAGTCTGTTTGTCAAGTCACAATTGCTTCACCAAAGTAAGTTTCACTTTTGTTACTTTTTATTTGACTACGTGAATATGTTTTGTGAACATGGTTGCATTCTATCGAACTGTTTATTTTTATTATTTTTTTTGTTGTTTAGGTTCCAGTGATCCCGAATTCCACGAACAGGAAGAAAAACTACTGGAAGCTGGACTGCAGTCAGATCACAGCAAAGATGGTGCGCCGTCACTTTAACGGGCTCCTGCAGTTCTTCCCTGAGTTGGCCTCCAAGCTGGAAAGGGAGAAGCAGGACAGAGCTCTCCCCTCTCCTCAACCTGCGCCCCGCAGAGCTGTGCAGGTCAGAGCTGTGGTGAAGTTCTCTAGCCCTTACTCCATCGAATCCCTGTTGAGGAGAGACAGCCCCCCTCCTCAAACCTCCAGAGATTCCCATCTGCCCGACCCGGAGCAGCAGCCTTTGCCCACCACCTCACAAAGAGAAGTCATCCGCGTCCCCGCGGAGCCCCTTATTTCACAGACTTCGAACTGTTCTTCCCACATCGGCTCAGCAGGGGGAAGCACGGATCACAGACTCATCGCGAACAGAGCTGTTGGACCCATCAGGTGGATTCCTGTGCACACCGATCCCTCATCTGCTCGTTATTTCACCCGCGCTCAGCACTGTTTCTTCACTTGTTCCGCGCCAACATTTAGAGAAGTTACATCTCACGTATGGCAATAAGTTGTTTCACACCTGTAAAACCAACCTGCAGCATTTTCTTCTGGTGAAACACACTCGTCAAAGTACTTCTTCTTCTTCTTTTTCTTCTTATTCTTCTTTGTAGAAACCTGTAAAAATGCTGCAACTGCATTCCTTCAATATTGGAATGCAGAAGCTATTTGAAATGAGGAAAATGAATGTATCATTGTATTAGCTGTGTCTCAATGCTCTTTTCCTGTTGTCCCAGACAAACATTTTGCAAATGATCGTCACATATGTTGAGGTGTAAAGGCGTTGAGATTAAATGCCAAAAAAAAAAAAAAAAAAATGGAAGAGAAATACAGAAACATGTGTGTAAATATTTCTTTGAAATCAGATCACAAATGTTGGTTCTTTGCTGATCAGGAGTTGTACCACAGCAAACAGCAAAATGTATCCATGGTCACGTTTACACTTAATCTGATAGCATTTCAAGAGGTTTGAAGAAAGATGAACATTAAAAAAATTTTCAGATAAACTAGTTTTGAGTCTTCTGTCACTTTTCTCCTCAGTTTAGCTCATGAGTTTGTTTTAATAGGAATCAGTAACATTCTGTTTGATTAAGTATTCTGAAGAATAAAGATTTAATAGAGAATTAATATGGATCAGTTTTATGTTTTTAGGCACAGGCTAAGAGATTTTAATCACAATGTTCTGATATTTGATGCTCAATAACAAGATTTCTAGATAGTCTTTGGACTAGAAACCTGCCCACAGTATCACAGATGCTTCACCATGCATTACTTTTTTTTTTTTTTTTTTACATATTTTTTCTTTTAGTAAAGCACTCATGGAGTGTTTGTTAGTAAAAAACAAATCAACAGATAGTTCCTGATCAGTTTAAAAGCTTGACATGTTTTACTTGTGATATTTGTTGTTAAATTTATTTTTGCTGTGCTCCAAAAGGTTTTCTTATGATCACATTCACAACACAAGAAGCTTAGGACTTTAGAAAACAGCTCTGAATGTATCAGCCCCGCCCCTTCGCTATGCGGGGGTCAGACTGTGCTGACATTAAATGAGGTGAAAATGCCTGGAATGCAGCCATTTCATTTCCATTTGAAATATCCCATTGAACACTGCTCTTGTTAAATCACCCACACTAGATTGTGCTCCCATTTATCTCATCCGCTGATTTCTACGATCCCTTTCCTTCAGGACCAAATAAAAAAAAATAAAAAATAAAAAAAATCTGGTGGTTAAATCTAGAATTTTATCATGGGACTAAAGTAGCAAGCAGTTGCAAATGTCGACAGTCTACCAGACAACAAGTAGACAAAAAGGTTTCGCAGAAGGCCGGACAGAATTGTGAGAACCCAAGACCACAAGTTGTGACTTAAAATTGAATTATTCGGAGTCGAGCATAAGCCAAATACTGTGAAACCATTACGTAGATAGACATGTCATGGTATATGAATGCCTTGTTGCAGGATGGCCTATCAAGTTGAAAAAAAAGATCTCATTAATGCTGCTGTCCTGACCTTTACCCGACCAGTTAGCCATCAGACAACAATCTGTCATGAATGTCCAACCCCACCCAAGCTTTCACACAACATCAAACCACCCACTATCCACATTTCCATATTAAAGGATCTTCGATGACCTACTCAATTCAAAGACACAATAGTTTACAAGATAATGGTTCTGCATGTAAAATACCTCCAATGGTGCAATGCTGTGGAGAACATAAAAAGTAGAATTAAAGTCAACTTGCAGTTTTCTTCTTCCAGATGAGAGCAAAACATTTGCAGAAAGAAAAAAAAAATCTTTCAGGGACATTGTGGGAAATGCTTTATATCAGTTGTGAAATATCTTTTTTTGCAAAATAGAAATGATTAAATACTGCAAACCCATTTTTCCTCAAACTATTTCAGAAGTGAAAGCACGCATACAAGGCAGGTTTTGAACCAGCCTTTGTAAGACTTATTTTGATTCAGTGAAGGTAAACAGTTCATGCCCTGATGGACTTCCACAATAGTTACTGCTACACTACAGCTAATAAAGTTTATACTGAAAGAAACGAGCACCAATCTTTGGTTGATTTTACAATTGATGAAAAAACACATAGGATTATTGAAATTTAGGTTTAAACATCATTAAAAGCAATAAAGAACTGTAAATAAAGAAGGTGTTAGGACTGTGGTTGAAATGAAAGTTATGGGACCAAACCTTATGCTTCCAAGCCAAGACAGAAGACACGGGACAAAGACTGGATGAAATAAAATGCTTTTTATTGTTCAGCCGTGTCATAACCTTGTCTCCAAAATAAACACAGCAGGACTACAACCGTTTGTCAACCTAGCTACCATTGATAGGACATGAAACGTGGGTTTTGTCAAACCACCAACGATAGCGTTGTTTTTTTTTTCCTATCAAACATCCAATGATGGCATACAAAATAGTTGTTAACCTACCAGTGATACTGTATATAAAACACTTGTTTGTAGATTTATCCCCGTCCCACCCTTAATTTCACCCATTTCCCCATTTAGAACATTTGACACCGACATATTTTTATGCTTAAACAAGCACATAACAAGAGTGCATAATTCTCCATTTTTGAGATTATATAAAAAAACCTACACAATGTTACACTTTAAGTCAGAGTACATTTCAACTGATTATTAGTGTTCTACACATTCGACCATAACCAAAGGAACATTGTATAATATCACTATAACTTAACACTACATGTAATATACGTTCTTAAAAAAAGAAAGAAAAAAAAATACAAATGATTAGCATTGGAGAGAAAATGAAAATGGATAGTGCGAAGGCAAGCTGGGTCAGTACCATAACATATAATGAGTATTACAAAACGAAATAAAAAATAGAATAAGAAAAGTAGAAACAAAAAAAAAAAAAAAAACTAATACAGGCGAGGCTAAAACATGTGTTTCACACTTTTAAGATCAACCTTTTGTGCACTCATCCAAATAGATAACCTGCTCTTTAACCTCCATTGTGTTTTATCTTTGATACTTGGAAATTCTCCTCTCCCCTCCGTTTCAACTTGCTTAAACAATCCTGTGGGAACCATCTTTGATTTGTTTGTTTTTTTCTTGTGTCAGGCACTTCCCAGGACCACTTTAATTCCCTCTCTCTTTACCTTTAACACTCTACAGGGCAATCGTAATGCTGCTTCAGACGATACAGGACAGTCACAATGCAGGTTCTATTGGAAAATGACTGGAAGAAGACATAAGATAATGTGTAATTAATGCACTGTAATCCATTCATGAGTTTTTAAAAGATCTGCAGTCTCTTACCAATCCTACAGGTCAGTGTCAAACCAGGCCAGCTGGTTGCTGTCCATCAGTTCCTGGGTATGGCCAAGGTCTGGCAAAGGATCAGTATGGTGACCCAGGTCGGGCAGCGCGTCAGCATGGTAGTCTGCGCCTTCCATCATAGGGTCTAGCAGAGGGTCCTGGCCATAAGCTGCTGGGTACGCCCGATATGCTCCATCTGAAAGGTAAAAGTAAGATCCACAAGGTTCAATGCAAAAAAGCAATGTTATGTTATAACATAACATTGTTTTATCATGTTATGTTATATAAGACATTTGTTATTTCATGCTAATTGGCATGTCTCCATTTGTCAGGAAATATGTACAGTAGTGTAACTTTGTAGTAGTTTTTGGATAAGTACAAACTCACAGGTTTGTTCCTGTGCAGTTCAATGCTGAAAGAGAGAAGCCTCAGTGTAGAAACAAAAATGCAGTTACTTTCGGGGTAATTACCAAAATAATTACAATTCTAAAGATTTTCCAGAAATGCAGATAACATCTGGGGGGAAAAAAAAGTGACAAGAATGAAGGTCATGTAAATCTTAAAAACTCACCATCTTGCCTGAAAGCCAGAGGATCTCCTTGTGCTGCCATATCCAGCCCCAGATCCCCAGTCTGAAGAACCAAACACTGATGTTAGCTAACTGATACAAACTACTTATCAGAACAATAGAAAGGCTCTTTCTAGATATTCACAATAAACAAAACATTGACAGTTCAGAAACACAAAGTTTAAAATTACAAGCAGTTACTGACTTCTGTCTTAAACCAACTTCGATCTCAACAACATCATAGCTAATGTAAACCTTTAAGATTTAAAAAATCCTAATAAAGCACTTTTGTCAAAGTAAGTACCATTAAGCCTTCATGTTTGCAGAGGAACCTAAACATACACAGAATGGCACATGTAGCACCAAATGAAATTCAAGTTAAAAGTCAAAATATATTTGTGAAAAGTTGTTCTGCGAATGTTACCGCTACATTAGTTTTAGGAAACAGTTTGTAGTTTGTGTTTCCCACAGGATGTTTGCTAGTGGTGCACCGCCTCTCCTTCCTAATTATCTTCAGCTTCTGTGTGAATAAAACCACATCCCTTTAAAAGGTTCGCCAACTAGTGTCATATTTTAAGACTCGAGATTAAAGGATAAACTGTTCTAGATTTACAATAAGTTACCTTCTGTAAATAAGATCTTCACTGCTTGTAATTTTTAGGCAAACCAATTTAAATCCATCCCTATTTAATGGGGCACTGCTTTTTAGAAGTAAGGATCATTATGTGAAGTCACTTGACAAGAAATAAAAAAGAGCTACTTTGGAGAGAGAAATTAAACATTCACTTTGATAAATAATGTACCAAAAGATGTGAATTCTTAGCTTTCGTCTTCTGTCTAGTCATGCTATGGCTCAGAAGAATTTAACACAGTTCCAGCAAGCTTCATTACTGTTGTTTCATTAATTTTGTTTTGGCTCATTTACTAGTATTAGCACGTACATCATTCCAGGCCATGGGCTCAGTTCTGAACAGTGAGCTGGTCAGCTCCACTGAAAGACGCTTCTTGTAGTCCTGGGGTTTGTCTTCAGACATGCGGAACAGGACAGCTGCAGCATAGGTTGCTAAAGGAGAATGCACAGAAAAAAAAAAAAAAAAACTAAAGCAACCAGAAAAACGAAAACACAAGAGGCTAAACTGCATCTGTTTGTATTCTCACCGACGCCCTCATTACGAGAATGCAGCAGCTCAGTGAGCGGTGCAGTGGCCCCCTCGGCTTCAATGGCCTCGGCTGCTTCTTTGTCCTGCGCCAGTTCGCACAGCACACCTGCTGCGACACGCTGGATGTTTTCCACTGGAGAATACAACAACTGGATGCAAGAGCAAGAGAGAATAAGATTTCAGAGTGTCCAAGATTTTAGGCTACTGATTATTCTGCAATTGGGAAAAAAAATATTTGGTGACAGATGTTCTGTGGTTGCACCTGGACAAAGAGTGGAATGGTGTTGAGCCCTCTGATCACAATCCTGTTGTGGACATCCCGGGCCAGGATGTGCAGAGCTCCTGTGCAACCTTCAACTATTTCCTCCATACGCACTCCCTCCTGGATGAGTTCAAGGGTGGGGAAAAGAAAGTCAAACACAAAGAAGAGGAAAAAGAAAGCCAAATATTCAAAAGATATAGTTAAACAAGCTGCATACCACAAACTGCTGCTGGTTCCCCCCCATGCTCGTGCGCCTCTGGGTGTCCTGATGCGCCCGGACAAGCAGCTGGACCAATCGGGGAATGGCTCCCTGCTCCCGCAGAGCGCTGTGATTGGCTGGGCACAGAGCTAGGTTGCGAATGAGACCAACCGTTGCCTGAACAGAAGATAGATTGTACCTTTTAAAAATTTTTATTGTTGTAATTGTTTCATTAATTTACAAGTGGAATGGAGAAAGGACCTTGATTAGTGGCCAGTGGGATGGTGGGTGCAGCAGCTTAACAACCACAGGCAGGCCATAGTGAAGGCGCACTGCATTCTGAGCCATTTCTGCATCCTGGTGGCGTGAGGTCAGGTGACGCAGGGCACACACAGCCGGTTCTGTGATGTCCTCTCTGTCGCCGGCCCGGAGCACAGTTCGCACCAAAGCCTCAATGCCACCAACCTAACAGGAACACCCGTGTGTTTATGTCACACATCAATAAAACAAGATGGCGTCCCAGTGAGACTTAAATCGAGACATGATGTAGATGGTTACAGCCCGTACCTGGCAGACCATGAGTTTGTTACTATAATTGTTGCAGGTCAGGTTAGAGAGGATGCCAGCAGCACATGTCACCACGTTGATGTCATCGCTGCCCAACAGCTGGACCAGGGTACCAAGGAGACCCTCCATTCCCTCCTACAGACAATAGATGAATGCAACTCATCTTCTTGGGTGTAATAATCCGATTATTACAAATTGAGCTCAAACTTGAACACTAAAATCACAGCTATAAGCTAAACTGAAGAGCACCAACAAGAGATTGTGATGGCCTATTTTTGAATACCAACTCAGATCTCTTGATATTTTACCAAGTTCTGTTTGCTGAATTTCTGGTTATATTAAAAATGTATCAGTTGTAACAAAATGCTTACAGTAAAGTAGATGTCTCAAAAACATTGCAAATAAATAAAGCTGCTTCTTTAAAGAAAAGGACATACAAGATAAATAAACCCTCTGGTTTATGGGACAGAGGTCCTTATAAGACATTACAAAAAGCTCACTTCTTTCGTTTTTTGACTATATAATATCACGTGACCGAACATGCATGTTTGATGATTTCAAAATAAAAAGCTAACATTCGAAAGTAAAGAGCTCCAGCTTCTAGTTCTGTCGAATGTAAGATTATTTCATTAATTCAAGTCAGGAAAATAGCTCTGGAGGGAGCTTATATATGATATAAGAACTGATTAGAAAAAGATTAGCTTTTTAGTTTTCACACAGCTAGGGGTCACTAGTTTGGACCACTCGACTGTAAAAATGACTTAACTCAGCAGCAATTTTTTTTAATTTATTATCTAAAATGATGTCCAACAGTACCTGTTTAGTGGCTGCATCTGAAAGATTCCTCAGAGTCCAGAGGCAGTTCTGAACCAGACGCTGGCTGGGGTCTGTTAGATGAAGACCCAAAGCTTGCATCCCACCTAAAAAGTTAAATAAAATAATTATTTGAGTAATCAAATCATTAAACCTATGCAGTGACACTGTTTTAATCTGTTTGATTTCTGTCTTAAGTACCAGCTTCTACAATGGCCGGTTTGTTGCTTGAGCAGACAGAGAGCACTTTTAGCACTCTGCTTGTGGTCCACAGCAGTTTCTCGTATGTAAAAGTCCTCATAATGTTGACCAGGGCCTGAGGTCCACCGCTGGCCAGAATGATCAGCTGAAACAAAGAGTTTTATGTTTACTACACACCGCTAAAACAAAGACGACGCATTGAAAAACAGATCTTCCTGTACCTTGCTTTCCTGATTGCCATATGCCAGGATCTGCAGACAGTCGGTAGTGATGGCCAAGAACTTGACGTTGGTGTTGGACAGCAGGGCTACCATCTTTTGCAGCCCTCCGGCGAGGCGCACCGCCATCTTGGCCCCTTCCTGGTGCAGCAACAGGTTGTGGAGTGTAGTGATGGCATAGAACAACACGCTGTCCACTGGTGAGCTGAAAGACATAAAAGAAAAAGGTGAGCCAACACAAGGAGCAGCAAGCGTCATCAACTTTAAATCGTCTTAAAATGCTAAGTGTAATTAATCCGATTCCTTAATTTAGTGTCAAACATTGTATTTAGCTTGAGATAATTACTAAATTCAGGCAATGACCGACAGAGATAATTGCTGCGAAGTGATAATAAAGTGCACCAAGTATGTCAGTGTCCACCCAATTAGGCCAACATGGAAGAAATGTTGATGCAATTACTGCCAAATTAGACAGAATGCAAGCAGAGCACCTTCTTTTAAAATGTATTTATGAAGACCATTAGAACGCATTATTCAGTTCTAAGGCAGGTGAAATTCTATACCAGCTGAAAACGTTCCAACATCCACTGCAAACTCAGTAATGTGAGACAATAAAGAAGTCAAACACAGGTGCTCAGTCCAACAGGTCTCAACTTGCCTTGTAGCCAAGTGTTTTGTCTGCAACTTTAGGCCTTTGTGAGCTTTTAAACATGTGAGAAGTGCAGGAGTTTCTGTGGAAATTTTGCATCACACTTTTCCAAAATGGCTGCTCATCTATGGAATAGTTTGGAGGGGGCCCCTCTGCAAATTGCTCTACTATGCACACAACAGAACACAATCAAATTGTCAAAAAAAACAAAAAAAAAAACAAATCATCATTTTTAAACTGGGGACAGTAGAAGTAGCTTTGTTATGAAAATGTATTCACAGAAGCAGGACAGCAAAAATACAGCCAGCAGAAAAAAAAAGAAAAAATATGAATCTAGCAACTATTACAACTACAGACTTAATATCTACTGACTGAGGTAGTCCATTACTGCACGTGAACGCTATCCCTCTTAATGTTTGCAACAAACATACATGTAGTCGTTTTTCTTTTTTTTTTAAAAAATACACTTTGAACAATAAATTGAGCTTTGTGTAGCGAGGTTATCCACCGACAGCAGCCTACTGTGACAGACGAAAGTAATCTGCCAAATCTAACTAATACATGCTGTAGAACAGTGACGTTCGGTGAGGTTTCTTAGCTACTCAAAGTCTTTCAGTGAGGCACTGACTTAATCATAATCAGATTTACAAATATAGACCCCCTGCATGATATTGTTCACATCAGAAAATTTCAAGCATGTGGACAATAATGGAGGGCAAAAAGACAATTCTTCTACACATCCTGCATTTCCGCGCTGCAGCTGTAGAATAATTCCAATAACTCAATCAAACTTGGACATGTAGCTATAATTTCGTGCTGTGCTCCACAACACAGGGAAAACCCCTTAAAGAACATCTCAACACCATTTTTTTCTCGCTCTCTGTATCAGCACAGCTGATATAGAGAGCAAAATAAAACTGACAAAAATGAAACTAAATAAAAACACTTGAAATATTTCCCACACAAAGAGCAGAACATTTAGTGTGTTGCAGTAGTCTGGCTTTAAGCGTAATGTTTATTTTGCGATTATTAATAAGTGACTGCTGTGGTAAGAGGAGAATATATCGCTGCACTTAACTCGACTGTATGGCTACAGTAAAGTCCATGGCTAGCTCACTGTTGCTGTCTCTTACTCTGCAGTTGTGGAGTGACAATGTGTGGGATCATGAGCGCCCCTTGCCATGAGGCAAAAGAACTGTCTGCCTCACCTTGAATCTGTTCTCTGCCGTTTCTGATCCTCAGCGCACGAAACACATCACACACACAGTTGGTGACAAACAACTCTGTACATTGTATACATAAGCTAAATTATGGAAAACCAGTTCATACATTAAATGTTTTTTAGCCATTTTAGACATAGACAGGAGGAGCACACTCCCATGGAGTGGCAGCCAGTGCAGTTAGCGAGAGGTTGCACAACCCCAGTTGAGGCTCAGCTCGCTGCTGCCCCACCAGCTTCGCTTCTGAGCATTTGAAAGGGAAATTGCGAAAATTCTGCGATATTGAAGAAAAAGTTATCAAAGTTGGTTAAGCTAAATGAAAAATAAATACTTACAGGGTGAAAATAGCAATACAAATTATTTTATCATTTATTATTTTTCCATGATCACCTGCCTCCCTTGACCGCACATCTCTGCTTTAGAACAAGGAATAATCTGGCTAAATATGACTTGCAGTATCTGAAGGACCATGGAGTCTAAATGTCATATGAAATCCAAAAATAATGACATCAGTATGAGGTCAGACTGGTCCCAACTTTAGTTTTTAGTCAACACACCAAACGTCAGCTCAACCAAAACATAGTAACAGAAACAACACTCTTCTATATTACTAAAGGAACATCCAAAGTAAACTCGTTATTAGTGAGATGTTAGAGAGCAGAAAGATATAACAATACTACTTAATTATTGTGCCGTTATTGCTTTGAACTTTGATCTCCTTATTTAGATGTTTTAATTGCTTCATAAATCAATAAATTTATAAATTTAACACATTTTAAAGGAAATGATTGTCAGAACACGAGAGAAGTCTCTTGTTCAATCAGGCTGTGAGAGTGAGCAGATAACACTATATTTCTCACATTTCTCCCCCTTGTGATAATCCATCTCCTCTGCTCCTGATAATGATTAGCTGTATTACACAAAAACACTAACTTTCATGGATGTAAATATATTTCCAAAAGAGAAATCAGCGAGGAGTCTGTGATGGCAGGTCGAACATAAAGTAGACATCAAAAAGCTGCAACAGCATTTAACCATGTATTGGTGTATAAATCCTTCACATCTTACCCCAGCATCTTGACCAGAGCAGGAATGCCTCCAGACTTGAAGATAGCGAGGAGCCCCTCACGGTGATGGGAAAGGTTGTGCAGCGTGCCAGCAGAACAGCGAGCCGTCTCCACATCGTTGGTGTTTTGCATTGCACGAACAACTGCTGAAACCATCTGTGGCGAGCGCATCAGGGCGTGACGCGACGCCTCCTTCTTTGACAACTGATGCACCATTACAGCAGCTTTGTTCACAACAACCTACAAAACAAGTTTTGTTAAGAATGGTGACAATCTGAAAATACAAATAAGTACTTTTGAGTAACTAAAGTAATGGGTAATGACTTGTTCACAGACCTGGTCCTCATCGTTGAGCAGTTTGGTGAGCTCGGGTATGGCCCGAGTGGCCAGCTCAGCATCATCCTGATAGTTGATGAGGTTAACCACGGCATGCTTTAGCATCTGAGAGGGCTCTGCCAGACGCTGGACTGCCGTTGGATGGGCAGCGTCCAGCTGGGTGGGTGGGATCTGAATACCCTCCTCCAGGGTCTCAGGGAACATAGCAGCTCGCACACGCTGGGCTCGGGTCATGGCGTAACCTTCAATGTCTGGAAATAATACAGAAAATCCTAATTACATTGTGTGTGGTAAAGGACATCTTTACTGAAATCATCATATTTTCCTAGCGCTCAATCTATATATTGACCAAATTGTTAACGCTCGACTTACCTGCCGCCTCAGGAGTGAAGGGCTGGTTAAACTCCCAGTCATAAAGAGTTGGATCATCTTCCTCAGCATCAGGATTCCCTTTGCCACTCAAAGATGGTGCTGTGGTGGTGACGCCAGACTGGATTCCTGAATCTAGATAGGACTGCTGCTGCCACTGGCTCACAGCAACCTTGCTATCACCCATAGCCATGTCCAACTCCATCAGATCAGCTACACACGCAGAAGAAAGACAAAATAAGACATGAGACGAACAAATTCTCACCAGGAATTTTCAGCAACAAGGGACTGATCAGATTGCTGTGTTAACAATTGCTGAGTTTGTGCAAAAATACATATTTGGAAAATAGCAATGTCTTATTCTAGTCCTAATTTAACAACCAGAGTCCCATCTGTGTAATTATGATGGTTCCTAGAAATCGTTAAAAGCAATATGAAAAACGTCTCAATTTAAAACTTATTGCAATACGTTGTGCTACTTACTGATGACAATAAAAGTGACAATAAAAAAGTGTTTACAACTTGCTTTTAGCCTAAAGACAACTGCTATTAAAGCACAACAAATACAAAATATCCCTCTTAAATTGAAAACCTGTTTTGGAAGGGGTTCCTTCAAGACTCCTGACATAACAATAAACTGCAAACAGTAATAGAACTTCTTCATATTTTCTAATTTATTGATATGCTTGTGAAACCAACAGTGGAAAAAAATAGAAACAGAAATAACAACAATAAAGACTGTTTTAGGAGCTTTTAAACGTCATTAATTGTAATTCCTCATTGTCACAATGAATGAAAGTTCTCATGATAAACAATTTTTCAGGAGAACAATAAATGGCCACCAGTAAGACAAGCAGTTAAATAGATGAGCAAACAGTACACATTAATGTCTGAACAATACAGCTAATGTAACTGACTGTACATACAATCCTAGGACTTCTGTGATGTCGAAAATATGGCCGACTTTGAAGACTTTCACAACTAAAATGTACTGAAATCTGAAACTGAAATCACATTATTTGTGATTTTGGCTTGACAATCTAAGCCATTCCACTGTAAAAAGACTAACATTCACAGTAAAACTCCGACCTTATTGGACACTGCTGTATTTGATGCGACATGCTCAACGCACACTCCCATAACACGTGATTAAATATCAAGAAACTTAATTAACGAGGCAAGTTTGCACACAACTGATTGCAATGAAGCAACATACTACAAAGCAAAATATTAACTAAAGAGACTTCAATGTTCAGCAAAGCAAGGGTGCATTTTTAACATTGAATTTTAAAACCTTCCCAAAAAAAATCTAGATTTTTTTTTAATGGACTGTTTAGCTATGACTTCAAGGTATTTAGAATAGAATGGCTTGTAAAACAGAGAAAAAAATGAGAACTTGTGAATTTAAGGATGAAAGGGAAAGGATGTTGCAGAAAACCCAACAAACCTGTTGAAGTGGCTACATGTTTTTGTGGAAATAAAGTGGGCAACAGTAATCAGATCGCTCAGGACTGGTGTTAATACCAGGTGTGAATGGTTAGGCTTTGCTCTGTAGACTTTTATCTGAGTCAGCGCATGTCAATGCCAGGTCCGAACAGGGCCCGTTACTGCCTGTTCTCTGCAATAATCTAAGCAATGATAAAGATCCCAAAGGATTATAAAGAATGTAAACGACAAAACTCAAAACGGAATAAAAATGATTTAAAGCACTAAAATTATGCTTAACTCTCTGCCTTGTACGGTAAAGTAATGATAAAGAACAAAAAAAAAGTTAGTTACATGTGCTTCAAATCCAACCAAAAGTCAATTGTGGACTTTTGGTTGGAGTTAATTAGTGTAACTCACTAATTAAGATATGTACAAATTGAGCCTGAGAAAGTAATGTGTGTGTGTGTGTGTGTGTGTGTGTGTGTGGGGTGGGAGGGAGGGACAAAAATTGGAATAGAAGAGAAAACAGAATAAATAAGTTTGCGATACTCACACTGGGTAGCCATTGTTCTTGCCTGCCCTCAGCCCGCACAGCAAATATGTCTGAAAAAAATAAGTGCACGGAAAAGTAAGAAAACACAGCCTCAACTACATGTCGTATTTGTCACAGCCTAATCAAATCGTGGTTTTTATTCCAAGCGTTGTAATAAACCACCGTCTGTCTTTCCTTTTTTTTTTTTCCTTTTTTCTTTTTTTTTTGCTCCGCTACCTTTTGCCAGGTCTTCGCCGCTTGTTTGGCTAGTTAACGCAGATAGGACTGGAGGAGGGGGGGAAATGCCGAGTTTCCACCTCAAACCCAGAGAGAGCGAAGCGGTGGGTATTTCCAGCACGAACACAATTCACTATTCAGCGGCGTACAACATCAAAGGCATATTTCTCCCCCTCCCCCCTTACCGCGGCCAAGTTCCGACCTCGAAGCTTGGGTTTCCAATGAGAGACACAACCCCCTCTACCCGCAATCACTTCTGCGACTCCTCCTCTCTCGTGGAGGCTCAAACTGGAAGAATAACAAGCACACTAACCGACGCCGAGTGATAAACTGTCTGTTGCACCAATACAGTGATTTTTTTTTTTAGTCAGCGGGTTGAATAACGGGGGTGCTAGCAAGAATTAGCCACCTAACGTGCGCAGCTATCCTCACCGTTAGTTAGCTAACTAGCTAGCTAACATAAACAATCAATGCTGAATGATTGAAACACATCGCAACAAGCCTTTGTTCACGGGCGCAACCGGCGTGACCCGTGGCCACCTTTACTGAAGAATGTTTATTTGATTCACAGGAACCTTGACACGGGAGGGAAACCTCAAACGTTTAATTCAGATTTGATTAGCTTAGCCATCCGAGACGTTCGAAAAAGTAGATCCAGGCGCCACCATAGAAAACCTGCTGTGCTGCTGCCAGCCGAATCAGAAAACCCCACCGGAGCCCCCCTCCTCGATCGACCAGAGATGATTTTCTTGGTCAAAGCATGGGACTGACACACCGAGCGATGTCTGCGCCACACATGCGGTATTTACCAGAGTCGAGAGGCTCCTCCGTTGTTTCTGTTGGGCCGAATGTTCTCCTTTCTCTTGGCTGAAAATAGTAAAAGGACTGCTAGGTGAACCACCCGTCCTGGTCCAAACCACACCCGCTTGCTGCTCTGTCGAAGATTTTGCTTCCGCCAATGGAATCGAACATCAAGATGGCGAAGGGGGCAAGATCACGGTATTCTGCCGCGCTTCAAAAAGTAGAGCCTCTCCTCAAAATAAATTTTTAACTTGCTGACAGTAATTTAAAATGGTCTCTCTCAGTTGCTGCACGTTCCCCCATGTCGAGCCAATCTGCCTCTTTTAATCTAAGGTTTTTATGAAGTGTTTATTGCCTTTTCAGTTTGGAGATTTAAAAGTAGCAACGAGGACATTGGATCCTTGGTATGAAACAATTTTGGTAGGTGGGTTTTTTTATTATTATTAATGCAAATTACAATAGATTAATAGTTATGTACAAAGAGCTTTTCCTTAAATTGTAAAATGTAGTTATTGTTTTGACAAGAAAACGTAAATTCCCTTCAACTTACTTCAGATGGAGTTTGCTGCCAACAGGATGATTTGTGATGGTTTGTTTTTATTTCTATTTGTAAAAGATAACATTTATATGTAACATTTAAAATACACTCTTCTCTCACATAAACTAGACTCAGCACATACATGCCCACATGAGGCAACTGATTAAAGAAGCACACGATGCAGCTGCCTAGTGCCCCAAACTAAAAGTGAACCTCCAAAAGCTGAAATCATCACACAAGTCTGGTTCACAAATGCCATTTATTTTCTTTCTTCCTCTCTTTCTTTTCAAAGTGAAAACAAAAGCACGTGAGATGTCCTATCTTTAAATCGTACGTGTAAATCTATGTGGTCAGTCGCTAACATAAAATACTTGTTTTTGAATAGATTAACATCTTGCAAATAGGCAAGCAGTTTATACTCTTCATTTCTACATAGGGAAATAACCTAAGCTTCTTCAAGGATGTCAAAATTAGCGCTATTGTTAGATATTACTCAAGAATGAAAAAAAAAATTTTGGGTTTTTCATTGTGGGAATTGCAACAGCTGAATAACGGGAGTGCTATGGTTGTATGTTGCATTTCTAACAACAAACTCAAGTGTTAGTTAAATTGTAACTGAAAACTCCAGTTGAATCAATAGGCGAGCCTAGAAAGGGAGCAGAACGGCTAGAGATGAAAGTAAAATAAACAAAAAGCGAGTACCACGCATGCAGAGTAATGCATGGCCATGTGTGTGAAGCGTGCCATAGACCTCAAAAGGTGAAAGTCCAAGAAGGGTTATTGAGAAACACATTGTTCTAACAGCAGGAAACGCACCAGGAAGCCTTACAGTAGGGTGCGACGTGTCCACTGAAGGGGTGAAACACTCAAGTGTGGACATTTCTTTCTTGTTTATATCTTTTTGTTTCTTTTCGGGTTTTCATTCAAGTTTGTCTTCATATCCAGTAAGTTAGAATACATGTTCCAGTGAGTCTCAGTTTTAAAAATATTTTTATTGAACTCTTATTCCTGTGTGTAAAAAAAAGAAAAAAAAAGTGATAATTGACAGAAAGACTTGAAAACAGTGTGTGTGTGTGTGTGTGAATCATTCGCATGATGTGTTTTTCCTTGAGAATATAAAGAAAATAAATTAACCTTCACATAGCATTCTAATTTAGAGAATGAATCTGTATTTTGTATGTGAAAATAAATAAAATTAACCTTTTGGAATAAAACTTAATGAAGCTTAAACACTGCCCAATTTACCCTGACACTGGGTAAGGAAATAAATTCAATTTTGGCAGCCTCTTAGTTTGCTCATTACATAAGAAGATAACTGGGAACTGCTATAAATGCATCATCCTGGGCTTAAATGGCTCTCTGCTGCTCACGAAAAAAAGACACAGCTCAGAATAAAGCATGAATGAACCAACTTTTCACCTGATATAACGCTGCTGCTACTCTATGCTTAAGAATGGCCCTATCTTATCAAAGAATGTGTTTCTCTAATCTGTCAATGGCTTGCTGTGTGGTATCTGAAATCAAGCTGCCAATAGAGGATTCCTAAAGTCCTGTAAGCTGTGAGACTGGGCATCCCTGGATCTTTTCTTGCCCTGCACAAACCATTGAATTTGATCAAAGTAATAAGGAAATCATAAATCTCCCAGCACCCACCCACATTTAACGTTTTTCCCTCTCATCCAGCATCCTGGCGCCATGTAACCACCAGGTAAAAAAGGAAATAAAACGAAATATATTTGATTATTTGATGTGGCAGCACAGCTCAGCCTTCGGTACACTTTGCGAGAGCACTTGAAGGAATTCATCGGAGCACCATTTTATTTCTAAATGATCTGTATAATTTAATTAGGTGTATGTGATGTGAACATTTGACAGGGTTCGTGCACATTTATCACCCCCAAATCCCATTCTCCTCCAGACTCAAATTAGCAGAGGATAAATAAAAAAGTTAAATCAATTATCTGCAGATATTTCTATTGAGGTGAGCGTATAAATATGTAATCTGTGAGAATGGGTGGATGGATAGAAAAGGTGTTGATGAGAGGATGTGGATGAATGATCTCGAGGTTTCATTGATAGTTGGATGAATAGATGCTTGCTAGACATAGGAATGGATGAATAGATGGACTAATGATGGGCAAAGACAGATAAAATGATGGGTAGATAGATTCTTCAATCTATCTACCCATCATTTTAATACTGGAGCAGTAAAACACGCTCATAATATGGTGTTTCAGATCCAGAAATCATCTAAGTCAAATCCTATGCTCCTCCAGACTGCGTAGGAATTCTGAAAAAAAAACAAAACAAAAAACAACAAAGGAGATGAAAGGTAAATCCGAATAAATACACCTTTTTATTTGACTGATTGACATGTCTGATTATACAAACGCCAACATGGAGCTCTGAAATAACAGGACCAATCAGCGAGACAATGACTGTACATTCTGGATGTGACCCTCCCTTTGTTCTAATGCCCCCTCCCCTTAAACCTTTACCACCACCCACCCCACAAGGAGCAACAAATAAACTTGCAAATGCTTTTATTTTCTGTACAAGTAAAGCTCAGCCACTGCTACCCACTTCTTTCAGTTTGCTGCACCGCCTCCAGCAGATTGTTTGGCCAATTATAGGACAAGAAACCTTAGTGTTTGCGTATCAACGTTTATTTATTTATTTGTATTCCTCAATTAAGTCTGGTAGTGTAACAGATGCAGCTGGTGTAATTGTAGTGTATGACAATGGTAATGACGTTTCCCATTTGGTAGTGAACAGCCCAAAAACCTCTCGTAAGAAACGGGTTCTGGTTGAAACTTTCCTAGTCATCGTCTATCTACCACATTCTTATACTTTGATTCACACAATCACACATCCATACAAGTACATACACACACACACACACACACACACAAACACACACAAACACTGGTATGTTTTTCCCTTCATGTTAAAAAAACAAAACAAAAGACAATTTGCATTTTTGTTTCATTTTTTTTGTCCCCCATCTGGTGCTTTTTGTACAATAAACACAGTCCCTCCTATTTTATCCTAAGTAGAGTCTCATCAACATGCGCCCTCAGCATTTATACTGTAAAAACACTGACTGTACTATCACAGTAAGCGGATGCATAAGACATCCTCACGTTCAGTCAATCCTTTTTCACCCTCTCCTTCTCACCCCAACTGGTCCCCGCTTTCCCCATAGACACGTACTTGCATGTAACAGTGACACAAACTTGTCCTTGGTGTAACAGCTGAGAAGACAAAAAAAAAAAAAAACGCGGGGGCAGGAAAGAGGTGTGGGTGAGAGAAGACGTAAGGGGGAAGAGATGGCGAGTTCTCTTCAAGAAGAAAGTGATGAGAAGGACAGTATCTGTCCGCCCATCCGACCCCCTGGCCCCACCCTCACCGCGTTCTTTATGATGAAGTGGAGGCTGAAGGTGGAGGGAAGAAGGGAGGTGGATGGAGGTGCAGAGGAGGGAATAGAAGGAGAGCAGAGGTGAAGTGCGTTGCTCTTCATGTGTCCTGGCCGTCGGTGGCGGCGGTGTCGTTGGCATTGGACAAGTCCGAGTCAGTTTCTCGGTTGGATATGCGGTCCAGCTCTGCCTGGACGTCGCTCAGTCCCAGCTTTGAACCTGAAGTTTAAAAAAAAAAAAAGGAAAAGAAAGTAAACAATTGCTACTGCACTGCAGAGGAGTGAACATTGACGCAGTTTTTACCCACAATGCGATAAGCTGTGTTTCAAATGCACATGATTAAAATAAGAACTGGGTAAAACTAGGACAGCGATAGTCTAGCTAGCTTAATTTACCTCCTTAACCCTAAAAGTCTGATTATCATTCTGAATGGATGAGAATAAGCACTACCGCAATTGCAGTATTGTTAATTAGGCCACTTTTCTCAGATTAATGCAAACATCTCAGAAGGCTGCTGCGCTTCCAGTGGTCTCATT